ATATGTATGGAAAGCTCATAAACCCAACTTTCATATGACACCAAAAAGTTCGAAAATAATTCATGCTTGGGTGAGCACTGCTCACTTTTGTAAAGGGTATGAAAATTAGTTTGCGCAGGAATTTTTTTATTTGGCAGCCATTTCAAAAGTGTATAGTTTTTTTTGGGACGCACTGTAGTAACATTACATATATAGAGAGAGATATATATAAAAAGAACTTGGGCCTTCTATGAGAAATAAAATGTAAAAAACGTTAAGAGGACACCAAATTGTCCTCCTATAATGAAAATGTCTACTTAATGACTCGTTTTTTTACTCCAAATGTCCCTCTAATGACGCCTATAGTAAAATATATATATATATAGAACAAATAATTTAATGTCAATAATCCTCCGTCACGGCAATATACGGGTTTCAATTTCATTTTTTCAGATAGAAGAAATAAAATAGAAACCTGTCATAGTGAAGAAGAGAACTTTCCAGGATCTTTTTTTTAAATTCTTTTAATCATTATATATATATACTAGCAGGACCCGCGGAAATCCGCGGGATTCTAGAGGGGGGCGGGGGGTGTAAATAGATATATAGAGACTGTCTAAATTAAAAACACCAAGAACTTAATTTGCCATTCAGGCCATTAAAAAATATGCATGTTTAGCGTCCCCGCCCGCTTCCTTTTTGGGGGCCGCCTCCTATTTTTTTTTTTTTTTTTTGAATTTTTTTTTATTTTTATTTTTTTTTATTTTTTTTTTTGGGAAAGAAAAAAAACATGAAAAGCACTGCTAAAATGTATTTCTGATTTTAAAAAAGAAAAAAAAAAAAATTGTCGGACGCCATCTTGAAAAATAGCCCGAATGTCTAGGAAAATGTACGGAGCGGCCATTTTGAACTGCCTCCTCCTTCCCATTTTTCAAAAAAACAGGACGCTATAAGTATGTTTTTTTTTAAATTTGGCCTTATATTAAATTAAAAAAACAATCCAACTGTACCGGTAGTTATTCTTTAAGCCACTGGAACTGTGTAGAGTTCCGTAGTGTGGCGTACCGAATACGCAGAAATTAGGCCGCTATAAATTTGTCCCTGCGTAGGTTATGCGTAGGCTGGCGTACAGGTTTGCTTATGGTTGCTTACTGTGTGGAAAGCTTTTACTGCTTTGTCGATCTGGCGTAGGGTAGCGTACTGCTGCGTAGTCATGTAGAGTAGTGTTGCGTAAAAAGGCGTACTTTCTGCGTCAAGTTTCTACGCCGAAAGTACGCGAAAAAAATTAAACATGTTGAATTGTTTTCGTTCATCTTGCGTACCCCTTTCCATCCTTCAGCATATAGTAACGTACGTAGGCCAGCGTAGTTGGTACGCAACACTACGCAACTCTACGTATTGACCCCACGCCAATTAGTGACCAGCAAGTGTCACAAATAAAGTATGGAAAATATGCTCATCTGACCCTAATTAAACGCCTAAAACCCCCGAGCTTTCGGGGGTTTATGGCCCCTTGAAACCCGTGGACCCCACGCCTATATTATATATACACTCAACTCGCTGCGATCTGATCTCTCCCCCCCCCCCAATTTTGAAGAACGTAACCCCCGAGCTTTTGGGGGTTTATGCTGGCCCCTTGAAACCCGTGGACCCCATGCCTATATTATATATACACTCAACTCGCTGCGATCTGATCTCTCCCCCCCCCCCCCCCCAACTTTGAAGAACGTAACCCGAGCTTTTGGGGGTTTATGCTGGCCCCTTGAAACCCGTGGACCCCACGCCTATATTATATATACACTCAACTCAGGACCCGCGGAAATCCGCAGGATTCTAGAGGGGGGCGCAGGCAAAAAATTAAGTTTTTCATTTCGGGGGCTCCATTTCAAATTTTTGGGAAATTTTCGGGGGCTACTTTTTCAACTTTCGGGGGCTCTTTTTTCTGGGGCTACTTTTTCATTAATTCATAAAAGGATAGGCCTACACTTTGTTGAGATTTGTTTAGTAGGCTATAAGGTTTCAGGCTTCCTACTTCATAATTGCCTATTTAAAAAAAAAAACATTTTTCTAGTTCAATAACTAAGTTTTCATGCATTGATTTGATGCAAGAATTGTAACATAATAGACCCTAGATTGTGATTATTTCTGACCATGAATTTCGATAATCATTTTTCAAAGTAAAATTTTCACAAGAAAATCAAACAGTCGTTTAAAAACGTAGACATTAGTAATACTTTTACTATTTCTAAGCTCAGGTTTCGTAAATCTATTCACGAAACTATATTGAAATCGCGGCAATAATCATGCAAACCAACAGATAACAATTTCAAAGTGTCAAATCTCTTCGACTCGAATTCAACTCACACACTGCTGCATAACTGCAACTCAGCTCATCTCACACACACGGCAATGCACTGTATTGTATGCGTGTCATTTACGGTGATTTTGTCTGATTTTCTTTACTTTGAAGAAATGATTATCAAAATTACGTAAACATGGCGAGAACATCACAAAATAGGCTTTAATTTCATACCTCTATTTATGGAAACTTTATAATATTGCAGCAATCGTGAATTCGTGATGGAAATTGATTGCAGTTTCGCGATGTTTAGTGGTTCATGGTCTAGATTCAGCTTCTACCAAAACAAAATCGACCGCCAAAAACTCGAGCCCTACGCTCCGTCTCGATCTCGCAACTGCGAAAATGTACGTGTTTTGGCGTACTTGCGTGCGACATGGTAAGCCAGGTAAGGTATGGAATATGGTTCGAGTTTTTTTACGACCGATTTTTGTGTATACAATTTTATACGGATAGTCATCGGTCGTGTGTCAATGTTGAATATCCATGAGGTATCTCTGTCGTCACGCATATCCTGCATTATGCATGTCGCGTCTGTTTTCGCCCTGGACGTCGACACGGAGGAGGACCTCGGGCGGAGTATAGCCAATTCCACAGAGTAGACTCTCCCGCGGACGATGGCACCGGTCACCGGGACCCCGAGGGGAGGGTTCAGGAGGAGATAGCCGCACCAACTTGGGTCGGCGATCTCATTAAAAAACAATAGAATACAAAGGCTGGCGGAGACGTCATGCCCCCCCGCGGAGCCTTAGCGTATTATTATTATAGATATTTGGTATACATTTAGATGTAAAGAAATCACCTATGCAACAGCTTTGGTAACTCTTGTAAGAATAAAAAATAAATATAATGTGAAAGTAAATGAGAGAATAATATTCTTTGCTAAAATTCTCAAAAGGGAGGACAGCATGCAATGGGGAACTTTGATTTAAGCCAAGCTATGCAACCACATTCTCTCATGTCGTTTCACATCATATATATAATACAATACTGTAAAAATAGTGTAGTGGGGGCTAGGGAAAATTAGTAAACACTGTACGGGGCCAGGAAGTCACAAAAAGAGGGAAAATCTATTATTATTATTTTGATTGTTGTTTTTAATATTGTTATTGTTCTTATTTTTTTAAATAATTATTATTGTTATTGTTATGATAATTTTTTTTCTTTCTGTTTTTTGTTTTGTTATTGTATAATGATGATGATGATTATGACTGAGCTTAGAATTTCTAATTGTTGCAACTGTTATTTTCTTTTACCTTCACAGATAAAAACTTTAAAAACGAAGTAGCTGGTTTTGAGTCCGTAAAAAAATTGGAGAAGGTCTTCAAGCACCTCGATATTAATGACAAGGTTAGTAGAAAAAATTGAAGTGACGTGTATATATTAGACATTCTCTTTGCAGGGGAAAGCTGTAACTAGAGAAATGTGATATATAATTGGTTGATTTTTGTCATGGTCATCTCTCACATGGTATAGACTTTTTACACGTAATTAAACAATGGGGATCTCACCAAAATTTATTTATGCGGCCCATTAACCTGCGCACTCTATTGTGATGTAATAATCACACCAAAGGCTCACTGTTTGCAGTGTATCGAAAATTCTGTCAAGCACTGATGCACAGTGCTGGTTTTTCAGTTCTTTGAGATTGTCATGGTTGATTTATGTATTTGCTCTAGATGTCTGATTTGGATAACAAAACAAATATTGACTTGCCTATCTTTCAGGAGATACCACATATATTGCCCTCACAAAAAGGCTCAAAATACAAGGGGGCGGTGCGGGTGGGCGATTTGCCCCCATGAGCTTCAAAATCACCTCCGTCAGATTGCTCACGGGGGCGATTGCAAAATAAAAATCGCCCCCGTGGAATTATAAAATAAAGATTATCTTTTCTGTTACAACTTTCACACAATATTGAGTTTCAACTTTCAAACCTTAAACCAATGAAATGGAACTATGGAAATTAGGTTAGCGTGCAGGATTTCTCGCTCAAATTTTTCGGTGTCTAGAGGCTGCCATATTGTAAACAAATGAACGCTTTTTGCCGCAGAATTGTGCTTATATCTCCCATCTCCACATCTCTACGAGTATTACAGATACAAACAACGGAGCTCGCAGTGCACTGCAGTCGTCAGCACTGGCTATACTAGCTGTGCCGGTAGTATACTGGTGTGCACGCTGCCGCCGCATATCTGCTGGAGCTTGATAGAGGACCAAAACGTGGAGAAGTTTTTTGTCGTGAAAATGGTGAATCCTCTCAAATCTGGTGATTCCAAAAGACCAGCAAATAATGAACCTCGACCAGTAAATCAACCAAAAGCTAAATTTAGTAAAAGGAAACCAGTTGGCGAGGAGGCGACTGTACGGGCTTGGACCAGAAATTTTGTAAAGGGGGAGGAGATTTGACCATTAGCTGCATGTTATAACTTGTAATGTTGTAAGAGGGAAAAAATGCAGATAATGATGAAATAGCAAATAATTTAGAAGTGTCATGGGTACCACCAATCCAATGGAAATTTGTATTGAAAAAAGAGCCCCCGTCAGTACTAAAAAGAGCCCCCGTAAGAAGGCTCACAGGGGCTCTTTTTTATTTGGAAGGGCCCCTGTGGACAAAAAATTGATTTGAGCCCTGCCTCACAAGGCCCATATTGCCCTCGTCTTTGACTCGGGGCAGTATGAGTCTTGTTTGGGCAATATATGTGGTATCTCCCTCAAGGCCAGTCAAAAAAAAATATATATCAATATATGGATCAAATTTTGTGTTTAGTTCCAAAGAGCACTAAATCCATCATTTGTTTATGGTGGGTGTAATTTTATTTAGGGTAGATCCATTTTATTAATTTACCTTAAATGGGTATTGTACAGGGTCAATGGAGATATTGTCTCATTCTATCTTCCATAGATCCATAATGATTGATGCTATACACAGTTGAAACTTGACGTATAAATAGACCATAATGGGAGGAGCATTTCATAAGATAATACGAAATCGTGAAAATGTGCTCTTCATGATATAAATTAGAATATACATATCACCTAATTTGCCAAGGGCCGAATTCAAGGCTAGTTATTATTATGATTGGTACTGTTATAGTTTTTATGGTACGTCTAGTGAATGCGAAAGTTTTTGCTTTTACAGCATTATGAAATTTGTGTCATCTCTAACTTTTTTATAATCCCACAACAGATAGATGAATGCATGGACTGGACTTCGGGGGATAGTGTTCAGACCGATGTCAAGCATGAACATAAACCGGACAAGCCTAATGATGTCATTAAGCCCAGCAAGCTGGAGGTCAGTCTTTATCATATTTCTCTAGCTATACCGGTAGTATCAAATTATTTTTTGTTAACATTGTTAGAGAATAGATTATGGGTTATAATACAGTCAAACCTGCTCTAGTGACCACCTGTCCACAAAGACCACATTTTTTGTTTCCCTTGAAAATGGTTTCTCATGAAAATATGTATTATTAAAAGGAACCTGTCTAAAAAGACAACTTTTTTTTCCCTTGGGCAATCGCTATAGACAGGTTTGACTGTATTGATAATATGGATCATTTAGGCGTGCTAAAAAGAAAATGTATCATCGTGCTTACAAAAATACAGAAAGAAGATACATGAAATGCCGGTACATAAAATCATGAAAATAGGTAAATCATTAAAGGTCCAGTCCGAATAATTTGCTTTTAATAGATGCAGAAAAACAAGAGAAACACAGCACGCCAAAATTTGAGTAAAGTCGACTTTGTTGCCCCTTTGGAGATCTAAAAACAATAATTATCGGCAAGGTGTTGTTGCCCCTACGGAGATCTAAAAACAGTAATTATCGGCAAAGTTTTGTTGCCCCTACAGAGATCTAAAGACAGAAATTATCGGCAAGGTTTTGTTGCCCCTACGGAGATCTAAAAACAATAATTATCAGCAAGGTTTTGATGCCCCTACGGAGATCTAAAAACAATAATTATCGGCAAGGTTTTGTTGCCCCTATGGAGATCTAAAAACAATAATTATCGGCAAGATTTTTTCTCCCCATGGAGATCTAAAAAACAATATTTGTCGGCAAGACTTTGTTGCCCCTTCGGTGATAAAAACAATAATTATCGGCAAGGTTTTGTTGCCCCTACCAAGATTTAAAAACAATAATTATTAGCAAGATTTTTTCTCCCCATGGAGATCTAAAAAACAATATTTGTCGGCAAGACTTTGTTGCCCCTTCGGAGATAAAAACAATAATTATCGGCAAGGTTTTGTTGCCCCTACGAAGATTTAAAAACAATAATTATCAGCAAGGGTTTTGCTGCCCCTACAGAGGTCTAAAAACAATAATTATCGGCAAGGATTTGTTGCCCCTACGGAGATCTAAAAACAATGATTATCAGCAAGGTTTTGTTGCCCCTTTGGAGATCTAAAAACAATAATTATCGGCAAGGTGTTGTTGCCCCTACGGAGATCTAAAAACAGTAATTATCGGCAAAGTTTTGTTGCCCCTACAGAGATCTAAAGACAGAAATTATCGGCAAGGTTTTGTTGCCCCTACGGAGATCTAAAAACAATAATTATCAGCAAGGTTTTGATGCCCCTACGGAGATCTAAAAACAATAATTATCGGCAAGGTTTTGTTGCCCCTATGGAGATCTAAAAACAATAATTATCGGCAAGGTTTTGTTGCCCCTACGGAGATCTAAAAACAATAATTATCAGCAAGGTTTTGATGCCCCTACGGAGATCTAAAAACAATAATTATCGGCAAGGTTTTGTTGCCCCTATGGAGATCTAAAAACAATAATTATCGGCAAGATTTTTTCTCCCCATGGAGATCTAAAAAACAATATTTGTCGGCAAGACTTTGTTGCCCCTTCGGTGATAAAAACAATAATTATCGGCAAGGTTTTGTTGCCCCTACGAAGATTTAAAAACAATAATTATTAGCAAGATTTTTTCTCCCCATGGAGATCTAAAAAACAATATTTGTCGGCAAGACTTTGTTGCCCCTTCGGAGATAAAAACAATAATTATCGGCAAGGTTTTGTTGCCCCTACGAAGATTTAAAAACAATAATTATCAGCAAGGGTTTTGCTGCCCCTACAGAGGTCTAAAAACAATAATTATCGGCAAGGATTTGTTGCCCCTACGGAGATCTAAAAACAATGATTATCAGCAAGGTTTTGTTGCCCCTTTGGAGATCTAAAAACAATAATTATCGGCAAGGTGTTGTTGCCCCTACGGAGATCTAAAAACAGTAATTATCGGCAAAGTTTTGTTGCCCCTACAGAGATCTAAAGACAGAAATTATCGGCAAGGTTTTGTTGCCCCTACGGAGATCTAAAAACAATAATTATCAGCAAGGTTTTGATGCCCCTACGGAGATCTAAAAACAATAATTATCGGCAAGGTTTTGTTGCCCCTATGGAGATCTAAAAACAATAATTATCGGCAAGGTTTTGTTGCCCCTACGGAGATCTAAAAACAATAATTATTAGCAAGATTTTTTCTCCCCATGGAGATCTAAAAAACAATATTTGTCGGCAAGACTTTGTTGCCCCTTCGGAGATAAAAACAATAATTATCGGCAAGGTTTTGTTGCCCCTACGAAGATTTAAAAACAATAATTATCAGCAAGGGTTTTGCTGCCCCTACAGAGGTCTAAAAACAATAATTATCGGCAAGGATTTGTTGCCCCTACGGAGATCTAAAAACAATGATTATCAGCAAGGTTTTGTTGCCCCTACGGAGATCTAAAAACAATAATTATCGGTAAGGTTTTGTTGCCCCTACAGAGATCTAAAAACAATAATTATCAGCAAGGTTTTGTTGCCCCTCTGGAGATCCGAAAACAGTAATTATCGGCAAAGTTTTGTTGCCCCTACGAAGATCTAAAAACAGAAATTATCGGCAAGGTTTTGTTGCCCCTACGGAGATCTAAAAACAATAATTATCGGCAAGGTTTTGATGCCCCTACGGAGATCTAAAAACAATAATTATTAGCAAGGTTTTGTTGCCCCTACGGAGATCTAAAAACAATAATTATTAGCAAGATTTTTTTTCCCATGGAGATCTTAAAAACAATATTTGTCGGCAAGACTTTGTTGCCCCTTCGGAGATAAAAACAATAATTATCGGCAAGGTTTTATTGCCCCTACGAAGATTTAAAAACAATAATTATCAGCAAGGTTTTGTTGCCCCTACGGAGATCCGAAAACAGTAATTATCGGCAAAGTTTTGTTGCCCCTACGAAGATCTAAAAACAGAAATTATCGGCAAGGTTTTGTTGCCCCTACGGAGATCTAAAAACAATAATTATCGGCAAGGTTTTGATGCCCCTACGGAGATCTAAAAACAATAATTATTAGCAAGGTTTTGTTGCCCCTACGGAGATCTAAAAACAATAATTATCGGCAAGGTTTTGTTGCCCCTCTGGAGATCTAAATACAATAATTATCGGCAAGGTTTTGTTGCCCCTCCGGAGATCTAAAAACAATAATTATCGGCAAGGTTTTGTTGCCCCTCTGGAGATCTAAAAACAATAATTATCGGCAATGTTATTGTTGCCCCTACAGAGATCTGAAAAATAATATTTGCCGGCAAGACTTTGTTGCCCCTTCGGAGATCTAAAAACAATAATTATCGGCAAGGTTTTGTTGCCCCTACAGATATCTAAAAACAATGGCCCAAATTCACAAAGCAAGGTTTGAGCTCAAACCTCCTTTTGTTTCGCCAAACCTCCCTTTGTTATTTACAAACCAGGTTTGTAAATAACAAAAGGAGGTTTGGCGAAACAAAAGGAGGTTTGAGGTCAAACCTTGGTCTGAGCTCAAACCTTGCTTTGTGAATTCGGGCCAACGTATTTGTCGGCAAGGTTTTGTTGCCCCTACGGAGATCTAAAAACTATAATTATTGGCAAGACTTTGTTGTCCATATCGGCAATGAAGTCTCAAAAGCAAAAAACAAGACATGTGTAAGAAACTGAACGAAAATAACGGTTAAATCCCAGGTCGAAATTCCATTAGGATATCCGATCCTATTGGACCATCAGAAACCATTAGAGCTATTGGTGTCTAATGGTTTCAATAGGGAAAGTGAAATGATGGACCCACAGAAACCATTAGAAAATATCTATTGGACCAACACAAACCCACAGAAAGAAATGCTGATGGACCAACAGAAAGCTTCTATTGGACCAGCATCCACCCATGTCTTCTATGGGTTTTTGTTGGTCCATTAGATATTTTCTTCTATGATGGGTTTCTGTTGGTCCATTAGATATTTTCTATGGGTTCCTGTTGGTCCATTAGAGATCTTTCTATGGGTTTCTAATGGTCCCATATTCTGAATTCCCTATTGAAACCAATAGTCCAATGGCTTCTATTGGTAAATCAATAATGATAAATCAAAAACGATTTTAGCAACTGTCCACCATAAAAAGTATATTCTAATCTCAATTGCATTAACTCCATCACATAGATCACTTAAAGTGAGTTTAAGAATATCTTTTTTTTTAACTGAAGGCTTGTACTATTCTATATAATAAACATACATGAATTGTTTTTTTGGTTAGTAATCATTATAATCAATATATCTTTTGCTAAAATGTGATTGAAATTGTAACATTATTAAACAAATAATCTATTGGTCATTAGTTGCCGAAAGAAAATAAAAATCACAAAATTGATGTACATTGTCATAAGTTGCTTAACAAATTATGATAAATGTAATTTTCTGTGAACACGTATAAAGTAATCATGAATATGCATGAGATAGATTTAGCTGTTGGTTTCTATTGGTTTCTATTGGACCTATTTGTTTCTATTGGTCCCATTGGGTTCTATTGGTCTCATTGGTTTTCTATTGGTCCTATCGGTCCTATTGGTCCTATTGGTCCTATCGGTTCTATTGGTTTCTATTGGTCTTATTGGTTTCTATTGGTCCTATTGGTTTCTATTGGTCCTATTGGTTCTATTGGTTTCTATTGGTCTTATTGGTTTGTATTGGTCCTATTGGTTTCTATTGCTATTGGTTTCTATTGGTTTCTATTGGTTTCTGATGGTTTGAATGGTCTCTATTGGATTCAATTCTATGGGTCCAACAGAAACCAATAGACTCCAACAGACACCATTAGAGACCAATAGAATTTTTCTAATGGTCTCTATTGGTCTCTATGGGATTTTCGACCTGGGATGGAGCGAGAAATGCTTAACGGTTTTGATGAATGCGGTCGTTTAACCGTCGATTAAACGTTTTGACTCAGGCCTACTTACCAGTACTCTACTGTATTTTTAACCTAGGATCAAGTTCATGCACTGGATACTACCCTTGGTCCTAAGCCAGCCCTGACAGCTGTTGACAGCCAGTGTCCAGAGCCACCATCCGGACCCATTGACAGGGAAGCTAGTGATTCAACGCCCCAAGCTGTAGATGACAAGGGTCAGGGGCCAGAACCTGGAGCTGTCAATGGACAGGGTCTATCAAAGAACAAGAATGAAATGAATGGGATACTCATGGCAGGTATGTCCAAATCAGTGAATGTATGAGATAATATACATATTAGTCAGTTTGGACAGTTCCTATATACATTTACTCACAAATTATTCATTAGTCATTAGAACAAGCACAAGCTGCTAAAAGTAAATCAGCAAAAACAAAGATATAGCATCTAGCAAACAAAGATATGGCATCTAGCAAAAACAAATTATGTGTTCATCATAAATCTTACACAGAAACGCATTCGTCACACCTGATTTTTTCCTGATTTTTTTCGTTTGGATTTATTTTCCTGATTTTTCTTGATTTTCTGTTTATTTACTTCTTTTTTTTTTTAATCTTGATTTTTTTTTTCTCCAAACATGGATATTCCCTGAGATCGATGTTAATCCAGTTTAAAATAATTAGAGAGGTGAGCTAGGTGCCATTTGTTCTTGACTTGCTTGGAAGCCTCCATGAAAATTGATTCCATGATTTCATGAACATGATGCAGTATTTCTCTCAATAGATTAGGACAGTTTTGTACAATGATCCTTATCTGCTGTTGTGCTGATTGTATATATAAATTGGCATATTTTGGGGTATTTCTTCAGTTTTTTATCCGATGGTCTGAGTATTACTTCCCCATATGTTCATACACAAAGCGTACATGTACATGACTGTTGGAAAGATATTAGGGCTTTCCCACTCCACTTAATAGTATTGCACCATGCACCTGCCGGCACACACACACTCATCAGTCTGCAAGAATCTTCAACTGTGAAGGAGGTAGACTTTAACCCAAAGAAGAAGAAGAAGAATTCAAAAATATTGTGAAGTGGTGAATAGTATCCACTTTATATATCAACAGAAAACTATTGAAACTTGGCAAATAACTAAGTTCGCTGATTCTCCTCGGTTAAGTGTAGTAATCAAGACATACATACATGTATAAGCCATGCAGTTTACAATTATCAGAAATTCAGCAATTTTCAAAGTGATGCTTGTGGGCACTTAATGAATAACTTTTGTGTTCATTAAAAAAAATTGTTTTTTTAAACCAAAATGTCCTTCGCTTGTGTATGATAAATTGCAAGACTAATGCAGAGATGAAAACTGATTCCATGATTTCATAAACATGTATCCAGTATTTCTCTCAATAGATTTGGACAGTTTTGTACAAATGATCGCTATCTGCTGTTGTGCTGATTCAAACTAAAAATTGGCATATTTTGGGGTATTTCTTCATTTTCTATACAATGTTCTAAGTAATACTTCCCCATATGTTCATACGCAAAGCATTTATAGTGTTGGAAAGATATTAGGGCTTTTCCACTCCACTTGATTCAGACGTACATTCTTTATGAACCCAAGTGTTTTTAGATTCAGTTATTAAAGGTACAAGTCTTTTCTTTCTAATGAAGAATGTTATGGTTAGTGTTCAATTGGTGCTATTGTAATGCAGCTTTGTAAAGATGCTGATAGAAACACTTATTCAACATTCTTCTCATTAATACAGGTCGGAAAGGGTCTCCACTGCCAAGAAGGAGGAAGAGGGAGATGCCTTATGAAGGGCAAGTGCCTGCAATGCCTATCAATATCTCAAGTACAATCAACCTTGGTCCAAAGCCAGACCCGCCATCTGTTGACAAGCAGTGTCCAGAGCCACCATCTGCACCCATTGACAGGGAAGCTAGTGATTCAAAGCCCCAGGCTGTAGATGACGAGGGTCCAGAGCCAGAAGCTACAGCTGTCAATGGACAGGGTCCATCAAAAAACAAGGATGAAATGAATGGGATACTCATGGCAGGTATGTCCAAATCAGTGAATGTATGAGATAATATACATATTAGTCAGTTTGGACAGTTCCTATATACATGTACTCACAAATTATTCATTACTCATTAGAACAAGCACAATTAAGCTGCTAAAAGTATAAACAGAAACACCAAAGATATGGCATCTGGCGATTTTTCTTTTATGTGTTTGTAGCTTCGTTTCCAAGAAACCTTCTACAGGGTAATGATTAACGTAGTAAACGCACTAAACTGAATCATTCACACAAGACGCAGTCTCTGCAGTATAAACTAGCTCGTGCCTTTATTCAAGTCTAAACATCGACGACAGTCTCAATAAATCCAGAACAAATGTAGAAACGTGTAGTGGTAGTGATGTCGATAGTATAGTCGCGATAGTGGATAGTGTCGTGGCAATAGTGTCGTCGATCGTACTGATAGTGTGGTTTACTGTTAAGACACAAATAAACAGTATAATAAGTCAACAATAGATACATCATCATACAGTGAATATAATGCAATAATCATGTTGTTAATAATAGTTATGCTATTACATAACTCCTGATATAAACTTCCTAATATTCAAGTAATGTACATGCATCTTTGTAGAAATGCAACAAGTTCCAATGATCATTAAATCCCTCTTAATATCCCTTAGCTCAAGCTATCACTGCCAATTAAACATGCAATACATATATACAGTCTAAAGTTTTGCCTAACTGTAAGACAAAGAAACAAAGCACTAATCAGTGCAGTGCGCTTGAGTGCACAGTGCCCTAATTTGGCTGCACTCTCTGGGTCTTGCATTTACCCCTCACACACACCCTACTAAACTACATGTATATCAATCATACATGCTCTGCACACAGCTGTGTGTGTGTGCGTACACTAGAGGCTATTCCTTGGTGAACAGAAACTTTCCAAACTCCAAACTAACTTTAACTCTTCTATATACAACTTTCCTCCTATTAATATAGCAATCAACTACTGGGTATGGAACTACAATTATTACTGTTTCAATTATATGTACAAACTCATTATAACTTGAGTAAGAATGACTTATAGAGCAACATATATTCTGGTAATATATCAGCTAGCGAATACATGCTACAGTATACTAGCATTGTATTATATACAACATAATGAACTAAGAACAAAGGATTGGCACACAAATTACTTTCTTCTTACAGGTTTGTCTCCTGTTTCTCACAATGTATGTAACCTAGATTCAGTATACAAGAATATATGAACAAGCAATATATTGACTTAATTACCAACTGTTAAATATCCCGGTTCTAATAGATGATTACAATGAAAGATCGATCCTCCAAACTTTCACACAATTCTAAATTGAGTTGCTAACTCCTTTCCTGTGTAATTCGGTCTGCACTGTAGGATGTTGCATGCATCCCATGAGATGCTCTACAAGCCAAGTTTATGCAAATTAGCCCTAAACAAACACCCCACTGGACCCTGGGCTGTTCCATGAACAAACAGGGGAACTCTGTTACATAATCTCAGAGGGAAAGGAGAACTTGTTTGTGAATACATGATTCAATTTCAATATAACATGCTTATGACGCTACAGTGTTCATCATAAATCTTACACAGAAATGCATAGGTCAGGCCTGATTTTTTTTCCCGATCTTTTCGTTTGGATATATTTCCCTGATTTTTCATGTTTTCCCTTTTTTTTTCTTCTTTTTTCTTTTAATCTTGATTTTTTTTCTTTCTCCAAACATGGATATTCTCTGAGATCGATGTAAATCTGGTTTAAAAGAAGAGGGGTGAGGTGCAATTTGTTCATGATGATTTGCTTGAAAGCCTCGCCCAAGCTCTTGGATTTCTATTTTTAAAAAAAAATTATTTTTACTGTAACTTTTAAATACATTACATCAATTACAGCTGTTGACAAGCAGTGTCCAGAGCCACCATCAGCACCCATTGACAGGGAAGCTAGTGATTCAAAGCCCCAAGCTGTAGATGACAAGGGTCAGGGGCCAGAACCTGGAGCTGTCAATGGACAGGGTCTATCAAAGAACAAGGATGAAATGAATGGTATGTCCAAATCAGTGAATGTATGAGATAATATACATATTAGTCAGTTTGGACAGTTCCTATATACATGTACTCACAAATTATTCATTAGTCATTAGAACAAGCACAAGCTGCTAAAAGTATAAATCAGCAAAACCAAAGATATGGCATCTAGCAAACAAAAATTATGTGTTCATCATAAATCTTACACAGAAACGCATTCGTCACGCCTGATTTTTTCGTTTTGATTTATTTCCCTGATTTTTCTTGATTTTCCGTTTATTTATGTCTTTTTTTTTTTATCTTGATTTTATTTTTCCAAACATGGATATTCCCTGAGATCGATGTTAATCCAGTTTAAAATAAGAGGGGTGAGCTAGGTGCCATTCGTTCATGACTTGTTTGAAAGCCTCCATGATTTCATTAACATGTATCCAGTATTTCTCTCAATAGATTTGGACAGTTTTGTACAAATGATCGGTATCTGCTGTTAATTGTGCTGATTGTAACTACAAATTGGCATATTTTGGGGTATTTCTGTAGTTTTCTATCCAATGGTCTGAGTATTACTTCCCCATATGTTCATACGCAAAGCATTTAGATATACATCTACATTTAGGGCTGTTGGAAAGATAAGGCATTCCCACTCCACTTTATTCAAACAAACATTCGGTATGAGCCCGAGTGTTTGTAGATTCAGTAACTAAAAATTTTCTAATGAAGAATGTTATGGTTATTGTTCAATTGGTGCTATTGTAATGCAGCTTTTTAAAATTGCTGATGGGAATACTTATTCAACCATCTTCTCATTAATACAGATGGAAAAGGTTCTCCACTGCCAAGACAGAGGAAGAGGGAGATGCCTTACGAAGGACAGGTGCCAGCACTGGGTACTACCCTTGGTCCACAGCCAGCCCTGCCAGTTGTTGACAACCTGTGTTCAGAGCCACCATCTGGAGCCATTCTTCTAATTAATACAGGTCAAAAACGAAAGCGAAACGATTCTCCACAACAAGTGCCTAGGAAGAAGATGAAGATGCATGATGGAGGAAAAGCAACAGGACCGCAGCCAGAGCTTTTGACAACCATGGGTACAGCTTAGAATGATATATCTAAAAATAATATGATAAATAAAAAATGATAAAAATAGGGTGAGGGGTAGATTTTAGGGGACTGTCGCAACAGGAAGTCTTTCCAAAATGTATTTTTTATTTTATATGCTCTTAGTTTAATGTTTTAGGTTCAATATGTTAATCTCACATAAATGGAAGAAGAAAAAAATGTAGTGAAGATTTCCTTTTGCAACAGCCAACCAAGTTGGAAAAAAAAAATTGTTTCAGCTTAGAATGATATATCTAAAAATAATATGATATATAACAAAAAAATGATAAAAATAGGGTATAAGGGTGAGGGGTGGATTTTAGGGGACTGTTGCAAAAGGAAGTCCTTCCAAAATGTATTTTTTATTTCATATGCTCTTAGTTTAATGTTTGAGGTTCAATATGTTAATCTCACATAAATGGAAGAAGAAAAAAATGAAGTGAAGATTTCCTTTTGCAACAGCCAACCAAGTTGGAAAAAATAAATTGTTTCAGCTTAGAATGATATATCTAAAAATAATATTATATATAAAAAAAATGATAAAAATAGGGTATAGGATGAGGGGTGGATTTTAGGGGACTTTTTGAAAATTTTCTATAACGGGCCCCTTCTACAACATTCCGTTAACAGGACTGGTGATTATTGATGTTTTGTTTGAAGTAACTGTATATGAAATGTTTTTCATTGGCTTCAAGCAAAATGATTACAATTATTGAAATTTCTTGAGACAAAACTTCCAAGGGTATGAGATACACTTGTATCCCACACTCAAAGGATTCAATCTACCCACTGCACTTTGAGGATTAACAGATATGCATGACCATATACTGGTACATGTTTGTGGCATCACCAATGCTGTGATCTTAATTCTCAATTTTTCCCAAGTGTTGGTCAAATCATTTAAAGTAAGTTGCTTATAGTGCTATTTATTGAAATCTCCATTACGCAGGCTGAATTAGAATCATCAATATTTATTATAACGGTACTATAGGCCCGTCGTTATAACAAAGGTCACTCGACCTACCATTTTTGCTCAATAATTATAATGATACTATCTAAGATTTATATAGCGCTGGTATACACATACAGTTTCTAAGCGCTTTACAAAACAAATGAAATGAAAATTCACTTATATATGAATGGTGTAACTTAATTCAATCAAAATATGAGGATGTTCAGACATCCCAATGACCGATTATGAGATGATGGTTGCTCGAAAAATGGAATTATTTTTTTAAATCAAGATTTCCATTCGTTGTTTTTTTGCGTAGCTCATGGACCATTTCATTTTGTTGATCAAAATAATGTTGTTGATTTTTTTTTTTGGGGGGGGATGGGCATTGTCATTGGCAATTGCTATAATTAGAAAATGAATGAAATGGTGCGTTATTTACATTTGTCCATATTTTTTTTTTTTTAAGTTTATAGTCTTATTATAATATTATGGTCAGTCATTGGGGGGGGGGGGCACCCGTCTTTAGTCTACTAGATCAGTGTTTTTCAACCATTTTTTTAGTCACAGTAGAAAAAGTTACGCTTCACCACAATCCATCATCAAACTATCCAGTGTGATCGACAGGCGCGGATCTAGGATTTCTTAGGGGAGGGGGCCCACCTTTTTTTTTTATGCTCCCGAAAATTTGAAAATCGCGCCGGCCGAAAAGTCGCTCAGTGGGGGGGGGGGGGGGGGGGGGGTAGTGAGCACATTTTTTTTTTTTTTTGATCCTCAAAAAATTTTTGATTTGCACCCCCCCCCCCCCTTGAGCGCCAGGGGGGGGGGCCCAACCCCCCAAAAAGGTAAAAATCACGTGATTTTACATGATTTTTTTTTCAAGGGGGGGGGGGCCCGGGCCCCCCCCCCCTGGATCCGCCACTGGTGATCGATGTAGCATCTTGCGGTTCCTGACACTTTGTTTCCATGAATTTTACTTTATTCCAAAATGTATATTTAATATAAGTACAATAACCTTGCACTAACCCGGTTAAAATTGTGAGAACAATGACACAAATAAGGTCATTTTGAATATCTGGAAGTTTTGGTCACCAAATGCATGAAAATTTCAAATTTGTAAAAAAATAATGGTCAGGTGACTGATAAAAAAAAAAAAAATGTGAAGTGGTGAAGCTGTTCGTCTAGTTGTCTATTATTTACTAAATAGTAGAGCTCTGAAAAAGTGCTCTTTAATAATTGTTTAAAAAACAACACAATTTCTTGTTCGAGAATGGAACATAACGGGCTGATATCCCTAAAAAATTGTATTGAGTTTAAAACTCGCAATGATGTTGTATGTGCCCTGTTGTAATTATTTTGTTGGTGTACATGATTGTATATGCCTTTGCTATTTCAGCAATAATTTATGTTTAAAGTGTCTGTATGTATGCTTCTTGTTGATCAAACTTTTTAAAATAAATCTGTAAACCCCCCCCCCCCCCCCCTCAAATATAAATTATGTTGAGTTCTACAACATTCCCTCAATGAGAGTGACAATGGTAACATAATTTGCCATTAAAAAGAAAGAAACAAATAGTTAGTTAATTAATTTGCTTATACTGAAAAAGAAAATGTTGTTGGAATGATTTTGTTGATTGACTTTGAAAAAGCATTCAATACTGTTTCTCACCACTTTTTGTATAAAACACTTTCCTTTTTTAAGTTTGGTAGTTCGTTCATAAAGTGGATAAAGATATTGCGTAGTGATGCATACTCTAGTGTTATGGTTAATGGGCAAATAACATTGAGATTTCGTGTAGGAAGGGGATGTAGGCAAGGGGATCCAAATTCTCCATACTTGTTTTTGTTGTGCGCCGAAATTCTTGGGTTGTTAATTTGCAATTCACACTCTGTGAAGGGAATTTCTGTCAGTTGAAAGGAATTTAAGATCCTTCAGTATGCTGATGACACAATATTGTTTCTTGATGGCACAGCTGCTAGTTTCTGTAATGCACTACATGTTTTGGACTTATTTGGAAATTGTAGTGGGCTGAAGATCAATATCCAAAAAACAAACACAATTTGGATTGGGGCCTCAAAATGTAATGAAGATATAGAATTAGAAGGAAGACAAGTGAATTATGTACATAATGATTTTTTCGTTATCTTGGTGCTGACTTTCATGGTGTTATTGACAAAATACCAGATTATAACTATGATAGAATTTTTGACAAAGTAAAACGCCAGATGATTTCTTGGATCAAAAGGAACATTACGGTTCTTGGAAGAGTTACAGTTGCTTAATCATTACTGTTACCACAGTTTAATCATCTTTTTATGGCAATCCCAGATCCTTCAGCTAAGTTAATGAAAACCATAAAAGTTAAGTTCTTTAACTTTATATGAAAGAATAAGCCAGATAAAATTAGTAGGAAACAGGTTGTTGGCACATATGAAGAAGGGGGACTTAAAATGCCAGATATTGAGTTTTTTTAAGATGTCACTAAAGTTAACATAGCTTCGAAGAATGGTTTTAGGAACATGTAAAGATGTTAGTCATTTAATGCAATCGTTTTTAACAAAACCATTTGTAGTAGGGTTTGGTGATGAATATTTTTTGGCATTGTCTAATGAAGTTGCTAATCCTTTTTGGAGACCTGTGTTTCATGCTCTTGTCTATGTTGAGTCGTATAGAGGGAGATGATTGGTTAACTTATCCGTTGTGGAGAAATAAATCTGTATTTTTTTAAATCTTGGTATGAAAAAGGCATCAGATGTATAAATGATTTGATTGATGATAAGGGAAAACTTCTGACTCGTGAGCAATGTGAACAAAAATTCTGCTTGAAACGAAATTATTTGTCTTATTATTCTGTAACTCAAGCTATAAAGTGTTGATATCAAATGCATATTGAAAAATGTGAAAAAAATGTAGTTCCTCTAATGCTGTTAGATATCAAAATATGAGTGCATGACATTAAAGGTTGTCAATATATTTACAAAACTTTTCTGGAAAAAAAATTTTGTGTGAACTCAATATCTGAAATGGGAACGTTTTAAGAAATTTAAAAAATTTAAAAAAGAAATATCTTGGTGTTGGGAAAGATTAGTTTTATTCTGCAAGATGTGAAATTGGAGCAATTGAGTGGTTCGACAATTGAAGGGAAAAAGGAGAGAGTACAGAGATCGTTATATTAAGAAAGAGAGAGACATAGACATAGATTAAGAAAGCAGAAAAAAGAGAGATATAATCGAAGAGATAAAGCAAAATGAAGAGAAGAGATAAGTAGAGAGAACGGGAAATAGAAAGGAGATCACAAAGAGAGATAGAAGATAGATGGATGGATAGAATAGAAAGAGAGAAGAGAGGTATAAAAGGAACAGCAAAGAAAAGAGAGGGAGAGAAAATAAAAAAGAGAGAAGACAGGTATGAATGGACAGCAAATAGAAGAGAGAAAGAGAGAAACGGAAAAGAGGAGAGAGTACAGAGATCGGAAAGAGAGATATATATGATGGAGAAAAAAGAGAAATGATCGAAGAGACAAATCAAAATGAAGAGAAGAGAGAGATAGGGAAATAGAAATAGAAAGAGGATTATACAAAGAGAGATAGAAGGATGGAGAGAGAATAGAAAGAGAGAAGAGAGGTATGATGAAAGGGACAGTAAAGAGAGAGAGAGAGGGATTGTAAAAGGAACAGAAAGAGGTGAGAGAGGGAGAGAAAATAGAAAGAAAGAAGAGAGGTATGATGAAAGGAACCGCAAAGAGAATAGAGAGGGAGAGAAAAATAGAGAGAGAAAAGGGAGGTATGATAAAAGGAACAGCAAAGAAAAGAGAGAGGGAGAGAAAATAGAAAGAGAGAAGAGAGAAACAGAAAAGAGTATATAGTACAGAGATCATTATTATTAAGAAAGAGAGAGTGATAGATATATGGAGAAAGCAGAAAAAAGAGATATGATCGAAGAGACAAAGCAAAATGAAGAGAAGAGAGAGGTAGAGAGATAGGGAGACAGAAATAGAAAGGGGATTGCAAAGAGAGATAGAAGATAGATGGATGGAGAGAATAGAAAGAGAGAAGAGAGGTATGATAAAAGGAACAGCAAAGAGAAAAGAGAGAGAGAGAGAGAGAAAATAGAAAGAAAGAAGAGACGTATGATAAAAAAGGAACAGCAAAGAGAAGATAGAGGGAGAGAGAAAGAATAGAAAGAAAGAAGAGAGGTATGATAAAAGGAACAGCAAAGAAAAGAGAGAGAATAGAAAGAGAGAAGAAAGGCAATGATAAAAGAGACAGCAACGAAAAGAGAAAGAGAGAGTGGTAGAAGGAGCAATAGGATGAAACGAATGAGGAGACAGTTGCGGACATAATTATGTGCTGCCCCCCCCCCCCAAAAAAAAAAGTATATATATATATATATATATATATATATATATATATAATTATGTACTGGGGCCGTATTCTCAAAAAGATGTTATCTTTTATGTTGGTATATAGGCGGAGGGCCAAAGTCAGAAAAGAGGAGTTTGGTTGCCACTGATTCACAAGCACACCTTGTTTATTCGGCCCTTTTGATGAAAAATAATATATTGTAAATGGTATTTCATGGAAGCCTCGAACCACCAAGAGTTTGTTGTCATATGAAAAAATAAAATTGCCTTCATTTCGATACCGATTTTAATTGAATTGGGGTTATTCAACATTACAGTTTTAAGTAAGAAAACAAGATTTTGTGTGACATTTTTTTCAAAAAAATGAATTTTATAAAAATTATTTACCATCATAAAACAAATCGGAGAGGTGTATTTTGTAATTGTTTTGCCCATGTACAGGGACCATGGTATTGTGCCAAGGTGAAGCTTATTTCTCTCTTCAGTGAAAAGTTATAGCAACCCAAGGTTATTGACTAGAGAAGACACTGCATACATGCACAGGCCAATCATGGTTATGGGAAAGGGTTTAGAGATTTTTTCTTACAGACGAGTTTTGACCCGAATAAAATATTTTTCCTTTTGAAAGAAGATTGTAGGATATATCAGAGATACCTGTAGGTTTGGGAAATAGTCCTTCCCCACGTCATAAATGATGGATAAATGCAGCATATTTATGCATGTATTTGGGGGCAAGTGTGGAAGAAATTTTGGAATTATTAAGTCCCCAGAATGACTTAAGTGTAAAAAGCACGAGTACAATATTAAGTTTTGCAACAAATAAAAAAGAGCACATCCTGGCTGGGTTTGAGAGCAAGTCCCCCCCCCCCCCTTCCCTCCAATTTAAAAGAAAAATTGAAATTCCCAAATCCCGATGTGTTTAGAATGCAAATTATTTCTGAATTTTCATAGAAATTAAAGCATTTGACTTGAAGACAGTGCTTATTATAAAGATGGGTGTGGGTTGAATATTTGAATCACCCTGCAGGGGCGTGGTTTGAATTAAGAAACAAATTGTTTTGTTTGTTGTTTTAAACAAAAGATAAAGATTTTATTTATGTAAATGAGAAAATTATTCGAAATACAAGTCCCTAAAATTCGAATTTTCAGACCAAATTAAGGAATATTCAGTATGATTATAATATTTTTCGTCAATTAATTGCTAGGGTAAAATGTTTATCAAATTATTGAGTCGACTATGTGTCCCCTCACCCACCCCTCCCCCAATCCCATTTCTCCCCCCCCCCCCCTCCCTCCCCCCCCCCTCCCTCTCTCTCTCTCTCTCTCTCTCTCTCTCTCTCTATCTAGCGCGCTATCTCTCTCCTCTCTCTCTCTCTCTTTCTCTCTCTCTCTCTCTCTTCTCTCTCTCTCTCTCTCTCACTCCCTCAGGCAGGCTCTCTCTAGTGGAGTAGCCAACATTAATTTGTTGTTGTTTAAGCGGCTGTCCAAATTTAGAAAGGCGAGTTAAAGCATTTACATAATGTCACCATGCACTTTCTGCATAATATATAGACGAATCCAAGGTGACCAAAACGGTAATGCCCCCCCCCCCTCCCTTAAAGAAATAGAATAACCATGAATGATTAAAAAAAAATATAGGGGTAAACTAATAAAAGGCTGTGAACCACCCCCCCCCCCCCCCCCCCACCTTTACCGAAACTTCAAGAGGGCTAGGGCGATTTCCACTAGAGAAACAAATCTGAGATGAAAAGGGGAAATTCATTCCCCGCCACGCCCACCCCTGCGAAACAATGCATTAAGCTCTTGGAATTATGCACCGGCCTGCTTTCATTTTAGAGTATAATGAACCGGTATAAGAAGTTTGGGTCTTTATAATTATTTTCCCTCATAATTTAAAATGAACCTGTTTATGAGCGCCCCAGCCCCCAGGCCATGCCCCAACTGGATTGACATCTAGCCAGTATACTTTGGTTGGTAGCCTGAAAATGTGACGCCTTTTCCTTTAATTGCCTGTGAGAGATTACTGGCTGGAATGCTCCCAAGGGGGCGGAGATTGTGCACACGGTGTGTGCGGACAATAGTCTATCTGTAAAGCGCTTATAAAAGCGGAATAATAATAATTATTATTAATACTGATTTGTACCCTCTCCAAGGGGCGGATCCAGCTGGCGGCAAGGGTTTATTTAGCGGCGAAAGAGCCAGCCGGTGAATAAACGGGAAGAGGGGGGGGGGGGGAGTGCCCACTATTTTTTTAAAACTCAAAACCCAGCCCCCCCCCCCCCCCTCCCTCCCTCCCTTGAGCAGAAACACAATACTTTTTTTTTTGCCACGGCCCGTCTTCTTTTTTTAACAAAAAAAGGTAAAATTTATGTATTTTTACCTGTTTTTTTTGCAAAAGGGAGGGGGTCCGCCCCCCCCCCCCCCCCCCCCCCCCCCCCCCCCCCCCCCCCCCCCCCCCCCCCCCCGGATCCGCCACTGCCCTCTCCCCAGCAAGAGAATCTTAAATTATGAAAATATGATAGCAGACGACATATATTGTATATTATACGCGCATTATCATCGTAGAGGGAAGAATGAAAAATTCAGATGGCGGCGATTTCAGAGACTGGAGCGCAGGTAATGTGTCTTAAATATCAATTCCATGGAGAATCAGATCCATTTCGAAACCTTTACTATTTAAATTGTATTTGTTTACATGATATCCGTAATGTGTACTGTGAGGTTTCAGAATGATGAAAATAAACAATGGACTCAATCTTGCTGATTATCACATTTACCTTTTTCCAAAAAGCCTTCAAAATTTCTGTCTACATAATTGATGTATGTTTAAGAAACTTTGAAAAGGTTGGGGGCCATGACATGAATCTCTTTATTTTCCTAATAATTTTAGGGTGAATGTTAGCCTAAGGTCAAAAAAGATTTTTTTTGAGGGGGCTACATGTCAGGGATTGAAAACAATTCCACACAAATTGAAGTGGTTATGTGTTAGTTTGATTTTTACCAAATTTGCATGAACTTTAGACAGGTGAAATTCATAATTTGAGGGGAACAGACAAACAGTGCATGAGTGGTCTATATCCGAAGGATTGATAAACTCGCTCAATGTAGGTAGCAGGGTTTGCCGGGACGATACAGTCCACAGTTTCCAAGCTAGGAAATATTACGACTCAACTACCTCAACGGATTAATCTAAACATGGAGTTACTGAACCAGACTAGGTGTAAATATTCAAATTTGACTGAATGCCAAGAATGCAATCAACAACAACAGTGCATGCAGTTTGATTTATTTCTTGGTGTGTCATATTACTTCCAATGAGCAGATGGAAGCATTTTTCTTTTTAATGGTGAACATAATTTTTGTGACATCTTTTCAGAGCGATGTAGCTTTTCTTTGATGCTGTGTCAGACATTGAAACCAGGCAGCTGTGCCTACTGCAAAATTTGTTATGCATCCAAGGAAGAAACAGGTACAAAGAGAAGTGATTTTAGTTCATTTTTTATAATCATGACTTTTTATAATTTATGGAATTAATATTAGCAGTAATATTTAGCACTGATAGGTAAGGAGAAGACTATTATTTACTACAAATCAGTTTCCCAAATTTTCATTTTTATGGACTTTAATTGCTTCTATTTAAGTCGCCTTACAAAAAATTGACAAAGTGAACCTTCTTTATAAAGAACCCTGATTAGAACTTGATAATATTTCTGGTCCCAATTCCTTGTAAGCTAAATTATCTTTGAGTTATTAAGGAAAACAAGATCTTATCTACAGGTAACATTGTAATTTTCTTGGTCCAAAAGAGATTGTTATTAGTTCCACTGTTCAAAAAGTACTATTTTTATAGCATTATCACCTGGACTGTTACTGCCTAAAGAAAATAAAGCAATATCCTAATGCATGTAGTTCATAATTTTTTTATTTTTTTAAGATTTGTGTGTGGAAATATGTGCTCCCTCCCCCCCCCCCCCCAAAAAAAAGGGTAACATTTTGAGAGGGCAAGATGGACTAGCAAAGGGGACATGACCAGATGATAGGACACCCCACCCCCAATAATTGTTGAATTTGTTAATATGTGTTTCATCCATCAAGTATTTAAGCCTGGAGGCCACAGACCCCCACCCTAACCCCATGATGCCAGTGGCCCTTCCATTGTAGGATAGATGCTATGATAAAATATAGGGGAGGGGAGAACATTTCCATACTCCTATATCAAATTATTTTAAACTTGCACTGCATACATTAAGATAGTCTACCTGTAGTTGGATATTCTCTTCTTTATTTTTGTTTTGTTCTTATTTTGAACCTGCCCTACAAACATAAAGATAATAATAAAAACGTAACTTATAAAGCGTCTCTAAGCGCTAGAACAAACAAAATAGACTGATAAACAATAACATATTAAACAAAACAAAAAAGTGCAAATAAACCTACAAATTACAATACATATAAAATACACATCAATGTGAACAGAGTAAGTCAATTACTCTATAAAAAAAAGTAAGTTAATTATCTGATTGTGTTTTTTTTTTTTTTTTTATTCAACAGACAGCACCTGGCTTCATAATCTTCTTAGCTCTCATTGCCTGTGGTGCGATGGACCTCTTACAGACAGATGACATCATCAACTCATAATGACAATACATGATCGGTGCTTTAACCCAGCGACTGCTGAATTCTCTAATTCCCATAGGCTTAACACAGGGACCTCCTGGTACTCGTAGGCAATGGGTTAATTCAGTATTTTGCTTGGTGCCTTTTGTTAAAGACTTAAATGATGAAATCTCATAATAAACTCCTTGGAAGCAAGAAAATGTCATTGTTATATTGGAACCTTGTTGTATGAAGGGCTTTAAAAAAATCATGAAATACAAGGACATAGGACCAGCAAAATTACCTCGTTATAACAAACAGTTTGTTGTACGGTGCCAGGTAAAAATGTCAGAGGAAAAAATGTCAGAGGAAAAAATGTCAGAGGAAAAAATGTCAGAGGTAAAAATGTCAGAGGAAAAAATGTCAGAGGAAAAAATGTCAGAGGTAAAAATGTCAGACGTAAAAATGTCAGAGGTAAAAATGTCAGAGGTAAAAATGTCAGAGCCAAAAATGTCAGAGGTAAAAATGTCAGAGGAAAAAATGTCAGAGGAAAAAATGTCAGATGTAAAAATGTCAGAGGTAAAAATGTCAGAGGAAAAAATGTCTGAGGTAAAAATGTCAGAGGTAAAAATGTCAGAGGTACAAGCAAAAAAAAATGAGTGCCGTCATCATGTCTCAGCACTTTTATTACACAGAATGTCGAGACGTACTGCTACTGCATGGGCTAGTCTATTATATTCCTTTCTTCCATAATGTAAATTTTATAAATGGCTGTGTGTTGTAGTTCGTACATGTCCTGAGGATAATACAATGTGGAAAATAGATTTTGAAATTTATTTTGTTGTGATCAGGCTTGCATATATGTATGAATGTCTAACATTTGTTGATATTTTGAATCGGTTGATGTGTTAATGTTTGTGAAACGGACCGGTTTGGCCGGTGGCAGCCTGCAACCTATCCGCGTGTAACGTTCCAGAGACGAACAAAGTCCAAACGAAGAAATGAAAGTTCTCGACAAAAGTCAAGTGTTAAAGTGAGTAGTGCATTTAGTATAATCACGAGGAATCACGAAAAGTTATTTATAAGGGTTGGGCGCCCCGAACTCTGCTAAAGCTTTAGCACCTCATGGCGGCAAAAGAAGTGGAGTAAGAATAAGAAAATCAAGAAGTCGCTCCGAAAAGTAAAAACTCGCTCCGAAAACTAAAAACCCGCTCCAAAAAGTAAAAGACCGTCTCGATTCAGAAGCTCATCCCAATTTTAAACTCTCCGACAATTATAAATAACGATGTAATTTAAACCGAACCTCTGCAAAGCGCGCGCTTCTCTGGAATGTGATGGTGCGGTTGGCATTTAAAGATAAAGTTGAGTTCTGGTCTTGCGATTGCATTGTGAAAGAAACGGTGTGGAAGCAATCAGAAAAGGTTGATCATCTAGCATAAACATCTAAGTATTGGTATGTAGTGCAAGGTTTTGGAGTCATCAAAATGATAAAATCGTTGGCCCTTTCTTGGTAAAGTAACAAGCACTGTACACAGAAAGATATTGATATGGGACTACACAAACATAATTATGGCATACAAATCGGGCCTCATTTTAAAGCTGTTACTTGTCATATCTGGGATATGAAGTCATTTGAAATAGATTTTCAGGGAATAACTTTTTTCTTTGATGTTCTTCCACACTTGCATAATAAGAATGATAACAAACGCTCACACATTATTGTTCACCTTTCCCCAGAACTCAACCTTCTCTTTAATTGATGTAACATCGGCGGCTTTCTGCGTTGTATCGGAGTAACAAAGCTGCTTATTGATTTTTTCCCAGACTATTTTATACCGCAATAGTAATCTTTTATTGCAACGCGCGCACTTCGGGAATGTGATGGGTTTAGCATTGATAACATGGCTTTCTGCTTTGTTTCAGAGTATCAAAATACCAAGCCCACAAGAAAGTGGAATTGTAGGAAATATGCATTTATTGGAAATTACATATAATAGTAGTCATTGCCACGCAGTTAAAATGTCCAACAATCTTCAAAAGTGAAGGAGAAGTGGGAGGGGGGGAGGTTCATAGATATCTGATCCTATTTTTGGGGCTGTACTGACTTTTCTTTTTATTTAATAATTACACCATGCATGGAGCGACAACTCAGCCTATAAAACATGGCCAAACTTCTCGATTTTAGAAATCTTTTTCCCCAAAAGTTTGCTCAGTGTACCAGTACCATGTGCTTTTACAAAAGCATAATATACCGGTATATAAATATTGAATAAGGCAGACTAATGGGACATGCATGGTTGCTACTCCGAGTTTCACGCCTTGCAAGCGATCATCAGACAAAAAAGCATTCTTACATGATTCCTCTGCAACCTTGGTAAATACACTCAAAATAAGACTTAACTAATACAATACCTGAATACAATATAATAAGAATTACTCATGAGTAATTCTAATTGTATTTTATTAGTTAAGTCTTATTTTAGGGGTATTTGTACCAAGGTTGTAGGATAATCATGTTTAAGAATGCTATCAATTGCCTGATGATTGCTTGCAAGGCGCGAAACTCGGAGTAGAAACCATGTCCCATTAGTCTGCCTGCTCTGCCTCGGCATTGACCACTGTTCGGAAGGATTTATTAGCAAAGCATTATATAAGAGAAAGGGGGAGAGCAGCCGGGCCACCGTGCCCCAGAAGAAGAATACCCCCCCCCCCCCCTCGTCTTCCTTCGGCAATAATCGGGCAAAAAGTCACCATTTGGGGCCGAAAGGTAAATAAATTTAACTGGGAAAGTGGAAAATAAAGCAGCGGTGAAATAACAACTGCAGAATATCCCTCGCTGTTCTTTTTCGATAAGCCTAATATATAACCCGGGTGTAACCACAACAAACTTGCCACATGATTTTGTTTTGAATTTATACCTCTAACATTTAGACCTCTGACATTTTTTCCTCTGACATTTTTACCTCTGACATTTTTACCTCTGACATTTTTTCCTCTGACATTTTTTCCTCTGACATTTTTACCTCTGACATTTTTTCCTCTGACATTTTTTCCTCTGACATTTTTTCCTCTGACATTTTTACCTCTGACATTTTTTCCTCTGACATTTTTTCCTCTGACATTTTTACCTCTGACATTTTTTCCTCTGACATTTTTACCTCTGACATTTTTACCTCTGACATTTTTTCCTCTGACATTTTTACACCCAGCCTGTTGTACATGTACTATTTTCTTTCTATCAAGGTTCCACTGTACTACTTCCATGAATTGTACAAGACAATAAATTTCAAAGAGCTCATTATTTCAAACATTCATAACTTTCTTATTATTGGTCCGATTTACCTCAAACTTTCATCATTCTGTTTCTCTGATTATTCTGCTTTCAGACAAATGAAATTTTTACAAGGGTTGAATTGCCCTTTAAAGGTACTATGTCCCTTTTGCAGCCAACCTCAAATTCTGTAGAACTTTGCAGGAGTTATGAATATGAATATGTCATGTATGTCCTATCTGTGAAATTTAAACGTTAGCAGTGTCCTCATATTCAAATTATGCAAGGAAACCTGTTTACTTGCTAGATTTCACTGTCAGACACTATTGAGTGACTGACTGGCTTTTTTCTTCTTTGGTAATAACATACATGAAAAGAGTTGTAAAGGGTACATGAGCCTTTGTCTACATCAATAACCCACTTCTTGTGATGGCCAAGATTAAACTGATTGAATCTTTGCGCAGCATAAAACGTATGACCGTTCGGTATAATTGTCTGAAAATCAAGACTATTACTTTTGGGCTCTATAGCCCTAAAGTCGATTTGATAACTAATAGTCGTTATTTTCCCACTTGAAGACATTTTCAAGCCCCACCTTTTTTTTAGGGAAGTTCTAAATTAGTATTATCTTTTAAATGCAGTTGGAATTAACTTTTTCATTTTTTGGCCTGCAAATGGGACATTGTACCTTTAACCACTCTTAAAATTTGCAAAACATTTCATGCCTGTGAATGTTTCCGATTGCAAAGTACTTGTCTACAGGTCAAGTGCTTTTTTAAAAAGCAACCAAAGATATAATGAGAATTATTGCACAACTTTTACTTGTCATGTCCTTATCAGTGGGTATAGTAATGCCCCAACCCCACCCCCAAATCCCAAACAAATCTGCTCTTATCCATACATGTACATGTACTATTTTGCCTAGGTAATTATTTTAGGCACTTTACAGTGGCATCAGAACATGGTACCACCAAGATCATAAACATAATGTGGCATGCATGGGATGAGAAGCTTTACTACCGGTACTATCCTAAACAAAATGACCTTGTGAATGTATGTAATAAGATTGAATATGATTTTTTTTTTTTTTTAATTTGCCATTAAAAACAAAAAATACCTTGATTTTGGTCCAGATTGATATATTCTATTTTATAATTGTTGCAGTCTGCATGATTTGAAATAGGGGCAGTTGAGGGGTTTGACTGTTGAAGAGGAAAAGAGAGAGAGAGAGAGAGAGAGAGAGTTAGAGAGAGAGAGAGAGAAGTAGAGAGATAGGGAAATATAAAATAGAAGAGAGAAAAAAGATTAGGTTAAAGAGAGAGAGAGAGAGAGAGATAGATGGAAAGAGCAGAAAAAAGAAGTGAAATATGATCAATGAGACAGCAAAGAGAAGAGGAGAGAGAGAAGGACAAAAATAGAAAGGAGATTAGAAAGAGAGCGATAGAAGATGGATAGATTTAGAAATTATGCAAAAAAGGGTATAGAGAAGAGAAGGAATGGAAAGAGAGACTGACAAAAGAGGCAGCAAAGAGAAGGGGGTAGGAGGAGGCCATAGAGGAGCAACAGAATGATAAAGATTTGTGGACCTCTGTGTGCCCCCCCCCCCCAGAAAATGATGGATAAATTTACCGTAATTATGAATGCATTTTAGAGGTAGTAAGTGTGAAAGAAATGTTGGACTAATTCAGACCCTACGTATCAGGAAAATCCCCTTGAGGGGTGTTATTTTCCGGGGGTAATTTTCCTTTGAGGGTAATTGTCCCGCTGGTAATCGGCCGGGGGTAATTGTCCCCAGAATTACTGAAGTGTATACAGAGCACGAATATCATAAGTTTTGGGAGAAATAAAAAGAGCACATCATAGCTGGGTTCAATAACGTGTCCCCCACCCACCCCGCCCCCTCTAAAATGAAAAATAAGATAGAATTTGATACTCCCAAGATGTGTCGAAATAAATTAAAGCAGGGGGCGATTTCTTTTCATGACCGG